CCGCCGCCGCCGCTACCGCCGCGTGTTTCTCCCGCATATCGTTTAAAACAAGTTCCAGCCACACTGCTTTCTCCTCGCTGGGGTTCAGCTCCTCTACATTGCGGATTTTGCTTTTGTTTCCCAGCCGCTTGTCTTTGTCCTTGTTGAATCCTCTAGTTTTCTCAGTCTCAGTTCTTCAGTCCGCAGACAGAAAGTGAGTGTGCCGCTCCTCTGCAGGGGAGAGGCTCCGGAGTGAAGGCTGGAGTTTGAAATGATGCAGCTCAGGACACTTTACATGGCCGCAGCAGAAGGGTGGAGGGGGGCAACCGTTAAGTGCCCCCCCCCCCCCATCCCTGAAACACATGAGGTAGACGTTTCATGCAAATTACATTTGCGCAATTTTATCAGAAGCCTAAATTGTTTCTTGAAAAAGTCCATATTAATGGAAGGCTGAGAAACAGAAAGAGAAAATAAAAATAAGACTAATGGACCTGATTTATTGTGTCAAAAGACATTTTCATTCACAGCACTTGTAAAAAACAAGAACACAGATTAAGGCAGTACACGACAGTAGTAGTAGTGACAGCAGATACAGTATTATTACAGTATTAGGGTTATACACTGAACTGGTTGGTGCTTATATGTTTAAGATATTCTTACATTTTTTTCATATTTTAGCTATATGGAATTATCATTGTAGGGTTCACATGTTGCCATGCCTTTAAATGCGTTAGAATTTAAAATCTGATTCACCTTCATAGATTAACGCAAACAATGTGTTAATTTTTGCTAAATCGGCATACTAAACAAATGGTTTTCAAAGTAGGGTGCCTGACCAGGAGAGGCAGGGAATTTAAACATGCTTTGGTAAACTTTTATTTTGACAAACTAAAAAAAAACAACAAAAAACATTTGACTACGCAATTACAATTAAGTTAGAACTTTAAGAAAAAGAACATGAGCTCCAACCATCTTAAAGAAAGGCTCAGTGACAGGTACTGTTTAAACATCTGACCATTGATGTGATCAATTCAAAGAATAAAAAAAAAAATCTAAATTACACAAGTAGAAATGATTGAGTGAAAAGATGCAGGTGAGTATTAAGACCTGGTCCAGCAGTCTACAGTTTTACATTATCATTAACATCTGTTGCTCAACATGTGGGGTTTTCACCAGAGCTTTGTTTCTACTTCTTGGAACTGAGTTAATCCATTGCAACACTCTCTAAGGACTACATCATCCAGATTCCCAGCAGCCCTTTGGCAAAACAGCTTACACTGTTATTAGAACTCCACAGACAGACATGTTCCCTGAACTGAACAGAAGAAATGGCACAGTATGGACAGCAGGAAAAACACAAGCTAATCTGAGGGGGTCGACACAAAACACTTTCTACCGCTATCTGATCCTTTACTTTTTTTAAAAAAATGTCCCAAGAAGTGACCCCTGCAGGACACCTTTGTTTTGTTAAGAATCTCCCAAGGACAACAGTGGTCACTGTGTGTCCAGGTCTGGAAGGTCATGGAGGCTTTCAGGAGCAGAGGACGGAGGACAGGAGTGGGATTTGATGCTGTTGTGTTTGATGGTCGCCTCATCAAAGTCCAGCTTCTGACCGTTGATGGTGATGTCCATGCAGCCGTGGTAGTAGGCCGTCACTGGGCTGGCAGGTAACGGGACGTGAGCTGGAGGTCGTGGGTTTGCAGCAGTGACATCAGTGAGAGAGATGGAGGAGTTAGAATAAAAATACAAAAGTAATTGATTAATAAAATGAGCTGCAATGCTGCCATCTAGTGGCTTTCACTTGTGTTACCAGGATTTCATTCATTGTCAAAGGAAAAAGCAATAACAATTCTTACAGTTATCACACAATTATGCTAATATCGTTCGGCCGATATTATCGGACATCCCTAGTAATAATATATTTATATGTAGTATTTCTGGGGTAAATCTGTAGGTATGGTTATCACTGACCTTTTTGTCAGACTGGCACCAAGTAGCCAGTCTTTTACTTCTCCAATTGTTTATAAACGTGACTATTGTGAAACTATTTTTTCCCATTCTTTACTTACCAACAGTCGACATACATTAAGATAATATGTTTTGTGAATATTCCTTATTTTATGACCTTCAAAAGACAACAATTTGTATTATTGAGACCTGTTCTGACCAACCTGGTATCCCACCAACATATGTACTGATGGGGTTCTGCATGGTGCTATTGAGGCGCTCCAGCGCCCCCTGCAGGACCCTGGAATCTGGATCTATGTAAGTGACAGTGGAAGAGTCGGCTGAGATCTGGATTCCTGTGGCATTGACACGGATCTGCACCGCCAGGCGCTCGGGATAGCACAGCATCAGGGAGTCCAGCACGGCCACAGGGAGGCCATCAAAGAACACCTGCAGGTCCTGGGGAGAGGGTGTCGGTGACAGTGTAACCACTATCCATGTGCCCTTGGGCCTGAGCGTAACACAAAGATACAGAGACAATCTGAACGCTACACAAACTCACAGCATCTTTGTCTCCCTTCGTCACCACAGCAACCGACAGAGGAACCGTGTCGTTGTAGACGAGGGCGAAAAGGACACCGGTGCTGCTGGACGGACGGATGTTCATACTGACGTCAACTTTCCAGCCTTCAGGATTTCCTTATTTCAACACAGTAACACAGGGAAGAGCGAGATATGAAATGTGTTTCAGAGTTGTTTTCACGTTTACTGAATATGTGCAGGAAACTGTATGAAATGATATGAAATATAATATTTTTCGGCTGCACCAAATATAAGACAACCTCTCTCTCTCTATCTCTCTCTCTCTCTTTTTCTCTCCCTCCCCCTCTCCACCTAACAATAGCACACCTCTGGTGGTACTTGGGCTCTCTCTGGTGGTAAGTAGGAATTTGCTACTTCACTGTACAGTGTGGTTTGTCTGATGAACATGGTAATAATGGAAAAAAGTTTAAAAACCATAGTCTTAGAAAGTTTCATTTTTAAAACACTTGACAATGAGCAGATACTGATGTACCACTCCAAAATGTCAGCCTGGAATAAATAACCAATTAGTTAGTGTTATAGCATGTTCCCATCTCCAGGGGGCAGTGGTTCTGTTAATGCCTCACTGAGTTTGGTGGTAGTCAGGCGGTGCATAAATTAACATTTTTTTACAGATTAAATTTGACATCGTCCCTGGTTTAGAATCCTCACTTCCTGTGACTATGACTCTGATGAAACTTACTCACTGTAGTCAATGTTGAAGCGTGCCAGTCCTGCCCCGGAGAAGAACGATCCTGGTTCCACGTAGACAAAGCAGTGTTTGTTCCTCCTCTCCTGGATTATCTCCTTCACCCCTGACTCTCCCTGATTCATCAGGTTCCAGCCCCTGATGCAGCCGTCCAGTCGAGGGTTGATCTGACACGGCCGAGAACACACACGTCAGCATCGAGCAACCGATGTTATCGGCCGACAATTAGCCTAACTATGTAAAAGAGGTAAGAATCGTTATGGGTTTTTCCTCCGATAATGAAAACCCGATTAGACAATGCCTGGGTTTGGCCCAGATCATGTGACCTTAAAATAGTTTTAAAGTAAAAGTGAAAATGAATCATTGTCATTGTGACACAGCTCCATATATATCAGTTGATATCAGAATCGGAAATTGAATGTTTGGCTAATAGCCGATATCAGTTGATATCGGAATTGGAAAATGAATGTTTGGCTAATATCCACATATCGGCAAAAGGTTAATATTGGAAATCCCACAATTAATTTATTATGATTAATCGTGTAGAACATCAAATATGACAGGTGATGTTATTGAATTAAAGATGACTGATCATGGCCATAAATGATAATAATTAGTCGTGATTAGTCAACAGTCTCTCACAATCCAGTTGAATCCTCAACCTGTCCCACAACCCTCTGCTTGAACCACAGGACAAAATGAAGGATCACGTCAGAGGTGGAGTGGATGCTTACAGACTTGATGAGGTGGTCAGTGCGGTTGGGCAGACCAGCGATGTAGACCTTGGTCACCAGTTTACCGTTGACTGAGTTGAAGAGCGCCTCGGGGCTGTTGATGCTCATCACGGCCTCTTTGCTGATTTTCACGCTGATGCTTCGCTCCAGTTCATCCACTGAGATCTGCAGGGTTTCACACAAGTTCACAATAATTCACACCCATGTCAGCAGCGTCATCTTTGGACTAACTCTCAGTCTGTAGCAGTCAAATGAAGACTTTTCGTTCTTACCACATGCCACTGTCCATCATTGATGGCTTTTCCTCCACTGGTGACCTTGAACGTATGCTGGTTCTTGAACTGAACTTCGATGCTACCGTTCCTGAGGCCCAACATGAACCATGAGTCCTGTGAGGACTCAGCATACAGAATAACTCCCTCTGGGTCAAACGTACGGAAGTCGAATTCTGCTGCAAACCTAGAACCACAGAAAACACTTTCACTTCTCGGGTTAATGACTTACGTGTTCTGTCTACAAATGAGCTACATTATATATGTTAAGCTAACAGAACAAAGGTTTATTACACATTTAAATTATAGATGAGCTGATTTATGACTAATTTACCAAAAACCAGAAACTTCACTGCTTCATATTATTACTGTATGTACCTGATGGGTTTTTACCCTAAATATATTTGTTAAAAAAGTCATAAAAGTCTATTATTTGGGCTAATTCACATTAAACCCACATTTATAAATGCATTAACCCTACATTAACTTTAATACATAGATGGTAATACATTCGTGCCCACAATACAAGTAGAGCAAGCGGTGTGGCCACCTGGTGGTCATGGAAGGAAATACTACTGCGACGACAACATCTGCTAGTACTCTTACTAAGAATGACAATAATTATCATTATCACCATTATTAATATTATTATTATTATTATTATTATTACAGTAACAACCGTGATGATGATGAATTATACAGTAAGATACAATATTTAGTTTAGTTTAATATAATTATATTATTTGTTATAATAATTATGAGATGTTTTGTATTTTTACATGAATGTGATGTACTTAAACTGTGTGCTGGTACTTACTTTGTGTACTCTGGCAGTCTGAAGAGGAGATAGATGACAGGAAAGCCTGCGAACTCCCCGCCCAGATACAGCATTTCTGAGTGTTTGTGGTTGTACAGATCAACACAAACCGGGATTTTGTCACAGTATCTCTTGTCCTCCAGCAAACGGAGACCCTGGCGGCCATCACAGTAGCAGGAGTAGCTGCCCTGTGTGTTCACACACGTGCCATCGCACAGGCCAAACTCACACTCGTCCACATCTGCAAAACACAGGATAAACAACATGTACAGGAAGTGATGACTTGGCACTTTACGATTTATCAAAAACAGAAAACTTCTGTTTCCTGTCAGACTTCAGATGGTCACATGGTCAGCATCAATTAGTCTCACCATCACAGGTCTTGGAAGAGAAGTTGTATTTGAAGCCTGGAGGACACTGGCACTCGAACATGCCAGGAGTGTTGACACACCGAGCTGGAGCTCTACAGATGCTGGGAAACAACTGACACTCGTTGATATCTGAGGAAAAAAACAACAGGAAAAACAGTCACCTGGGACTACAGACTCTGAACTGTAGTAATGTACCATCACATCAGAGTTCAGCTAGCAGTTAGCACATTGATCAGCGTCTCTGTACTTGATTGGAGAAGTTAGAAGAAGCCTGGTGATGTTAGCACAACCGTGGCATTCACTGGTGTTGACCTTCATCCATCAACTAACCCTAACCCACTAATCTACCTAACTACCTGAACTACCCGAAGACCCACCATCCATCTATTCGTCCATCTATTCGTCCATCCATCCATCCATCCATTTATCCATCCATCCATCCATCCATCCATCCATCCTCCCTCTATCCACTCCTTGTGCTGCAGGAATATAAAGATGTTGAGACACGCATTAACCATCCAGAAGGTGGCACAGCGGAGCATCTCCAGCTCTGCACTCAGGCAGAAAGAGAAACAGAAGGAGTTTCAGGATGATATTGGGCTTCCCATTCATTTAAAAGGAGGATCGAGCAACTTCCTGCTGTACGGAGCCACCATGACACGCGGAACTGGCGCCATGGCGTACGAGCTGTGGAAGGCAGTGTTTCCTCAGAAGAAAAAGTTGAAGAAATAACTGCAACGCCCCCTGCTGGGAGCTTAACAAAATCAATCAAACTCCAAACTTCCAGACGTGTCAGGCCATAAACAGTTCCAGTCACTGCTCCAGGGACTCCTGTTATTTAGTTCTAGTGAAAAAAATCTTCTTCTTTTTGGCTGTGCACCAACGTTGTGTTAACTGTGATGTTGTCCTGCTCTCGTGTGTCTCTGTTGAAAACATTTACCCAGCGGGCACACTGCCAATGTTTGTCAGAACTTTGAACTCAACAAATTTCATTCAACTCAAACACCAACAATGAAGACCGACAGCGAGCGACCCAAAACTCTTCTTCTCAATATGACTGACGCCACTGACCGTCTGTGGTTCTGCAGCAGAAGGAACAGAACACACTCTCTTATATAAGAGGTCACATCAGGGCACTTGTAGAAACAGCAGATACTCTGGTCCCTGAGGACAGCAGCTGGAAGAACAAAGTGTTTTTATCAAGTTTGTGTTGTTATGAATAATAACACGGGCGTTGAACCATCGGCTGCTGAGCTGAACTATATGTTCCGTCTGCCTATGGCTGAAGAACAGCTGCAGGTCTGCACACAACAGGCTCAACACAGAGACTGCAGTGTAAACAACCAGGTATAATAAAGATCTGGTTCTGGCCCTGGTGGGTAACAGAAACAGAAACATGTCAAAATATGTTTTAATTAATTTAATCAACCTCTGATCGAGTGTTTGGTTTGACTAAAATGACTCAATAGCACTGTCGCTGGTTAGTTCTGGACAAATAAAATAGCTGAGAAATCTAATAGAGAAAAGACAGAGTATTTTTTTAATCTAAGATTAGTTTCTTGTTGGTCAAGAAATAAGACCTCTTTGGTTTGTGTTATGTTAAGAAAAAAAAAGTTCAATGAAGTCAGTCCTGGAAAAATACTGGATGGGACTATTAGTTGAAGGTTTAGAGGATGGCTGGTTCAAATCCCAGCCCTGGTGTTGAGCTGGGATTTGGTTCTGGGAGTGGTTTCCCCGCTGTTGTGGCTGCAAACAAGTTCAGTGTTTTTTTGTGATGACAAATGAAGCTGCTTTTTGTGATTTGCTTTGTCCTTTTCTCAGGTTAGTTATGGACAACACCAGTGTTAATCTGACTTCATCTCTTTAAACGTTGGCCTGGATCTGGTAAAATAAATAGGCATGTCCGATAACATCAGCCAACCAATATTATCGGCCCAATATTAGCATATTATGTTTTTCTTCTGATAATGAAAACCCGATATCGCAAAGTCTTACCTTCACAGTGGACGTTGTTTCTGACTTTATAGCCCTCCTCACATGAGCAGTGAAAACCACCAGGAATGTTGTAACATTTTTGATCGCATCCTGCCGGATATTCAGGATCCGTGCACTCGTTGATGTCTGTCGGGTCAACACAACATCCATCAAATCTCCGTCAGCATCTGCTCCACTCACATCAGTAACTGTTGAAACACAAAGACTCACCATCCTCACACAGCGCCCCCTTCCAGCCACGCTTACACAAACACTGGAAGGTCCCCTGGCCGTCCTTGCAGACAAGCGACCCCTCCTTATAGCAGAGATTGGGTACGCACTGGTTTGTTATTCCTGTCGTGAAATAAAACACAGGCAGAAACACACACTCTAATAGGTCATTTGGTACAAAATAAAAATGTACTTCAGTTTAATTAATTTAGTTCATTCCAAAAGAGTCCAGTCATATCCCTTTACTGTTTTCAGTCAAAGATATTAGCATAATTATGTAATATCTGTAGGAATCGTTATCAAACCTGAAACTTTCGGGACCCAGGTCCGCTTCCTTAACCACCGGGCCACCATTGTTACTGTTTATTATGTTTGAAAAATTAAATTGATCTGTGACTCACTAACTCAGTACCTGAACCTGGTGTGAAGCCACTCACCGTTCACACAGGCGCGAAGATCCGATGAAACGACTTGGTGAGATTTTTGGTCGTAGATGCCGACACGGTGTGAACCCAGACAGGCTGCAGCAGAGACGGAAAAAAAATCATATCTATAAACACAGCACGGTGAAAATCGATTCCAAATGTTAGAAACTCACCAACATATCTGGGATAGAAATATTCCTGGAAAACCAACAGGAAAACAGATTTTAGGAAATCGTACAACTGGGAATTCTGGTGTTATTTCAATATCAATATAATATTATAATATAGCAGCAATAGCATAGTGTGATGACATCTTTTTTAAAGAGAGGTAAAACCCAGACCAGGATCAGTGGAGTGGGCTTCATAGAAAAACACGTTCATGTCCAGGCTGACTGCAGCTCTCACCGTCTCTGGAGTATTCTCAAAGATCTCCCTGGCCTCCTCCATGTTGCACAGCTCCTCAATACACTCCCTCTCCAAGTTCCCCGTCTTGGTTTCCTCCAACAGAGAGTTGGCTCTCCTGTGTCGACTCAGGAACTGTGAGGCCGAGCTCTGACTCAAGACTGTGAGACGCAACAAGTGCCGAGAATTTAATTCACATTTTGAACAGCATTTGTCTTTGATCTCATGACGAAATAAACATAAAAAACCTGTTGGATAACAATAACTATGAAGTACCAGTTCAAAATGACACAAACATCTTTTTTTGGAGATGCCCGATAATATTGGCCGACCGATATTACCGGCACGATATTAGCATACTTATGTAATATCTGTAAGAATAGTTCTCGTTTTTTCCTCCGATAATGAAAACCCGATAACGCAATAATGTAAGAATAATGTGTGCTCTAAAAATTGTTTTTTTGGGAAATAGGCTGTATATGAAGGTGAAAGCCACTAGATGGCAGAGAGTTGATAAGAATTGAGCTGATAAACATGGAACTTCGAAAATTAAGTCAGTTAATAGAATGGAATTACAATAAATCGGTCAAATAATCTACAACAAAAACACCAACATAATAATAATTATTATTATAATAAGCATAAATGAATCACGAACGTGAAAAACAGTTGGCCATAAAAATGTTTAAAACGATCAACTCTTAGCACCAAATATATATCGAGAAATCGAGAATTTCGGTAAATCGTCATTTTTCAGAGTTTTTTTGTCCGCTTGTTTGTAAAAGTCAAAGGTTATTGTGGATGAATGAATGACGTCACAACCATAAATGATCCCTGCAGGAATTTAAAGTCCTGCTGGATCGTCAAAGTCGTTACTCTTCTCTGAAACACGAAAAAAAACATCTCATGTTGCGAAACCGTTATTTCCCAGAAATGAGCCTCTGAGTTCTAACACTCAGCTCGTGTTGCTGCAAACAAAACAAAAAAACATCGTTTCACTTAAAGCTTTAACGCTAATCAGCACCAGCAGCGGTGAGAGGAGGACAACGGCCGAGTGTGTCTGAAAGTACCGACAACTGAGAGGAGAAAAGTCCAACACTCACATCCAGAGGCACCGACCAGCGTCACCAGAAATACGAGACAGACCAGAGGTTCCCAGAACGAGCGGTTCTTCCTCCACATAGTCGAGCAGTTCCAGCGGCAGGGCCTCACTGTGGCTGAGCACACGTCCATGAGTGTGTGTGTGTGTGTGTGTGAGAGAGAGAGAGAGAGAAAAGGGGAGAGGGGGAGAGAGAAAGAATTAAAAAAACCCAACTTAATTCTTCCCGAAAGTGTTTTCGTGCAAAGAGAAAAAGAGAGGGACTGTGTGTAAGAGCTCTGTGTGTGTGTGTGTGTGTGAGAGAGAGAGAGAGAGAGAGAGAGAGCGAGCGATAAATGGAGTTAGTTGCCAGGAGTCAACACAGTTGGAGGTGAGGGGGAGTCACAAACACACAGAGTGAGAGAGAAAGTTTCATATATGCACATATATATATACATACAAACAAATATATTCATTTATTTATTCATTTATAAGAAAAGTGCCCTAAAATGAACATTTACTTTTCATAGTTTTTCGACGTAGTCTATTGGTTCTGAAATGTCAATTCTTTGTGATAATTGGTTGGATTAAAAACCTAAACTGTACCTAAACTGTGCTGTAACAAAAAAAACCCCAATAAAAACATTTTACCCCCGAGGACCAAAGATGTTGACACTCAGATACGGAAACACTTCTACAACTAGAGATGAAACGCAAAAAAAACCCCAACAAAACTCAAATCTAGGCATTCTGTTATTCCAACGCCAAAAAAAAAAAAAAGAACTCTCAAATCTAAGCGTTCTGTTATTCCAACGAACAAAATCTGATAGCAGGATCAGACAGGATAGCCGCCATTTTAGAATTCTGACCAAATTAGAAATTTAATGTCATCAATGACTAATTTAGGATTTAGAATTTATAAAGAAGGTGGAATAATGTCAAAGATTCAAACTTAATTAATTGGATTTGGATATGTTTAAATATAACATCTAAGTAAACAACAAAACCGTGGAGTTGAAGTGTTTTTTACAAAGAAATAATCCTAATAACTTCAGTTTGCGTTCATGTGTGCCATTGCACACTAGCGCCTCAGGGGGGCGATGTAAGACCCATTATAGCGGTTTCCGGAAATCAAGGCAGAGTAACAATAATTTTCTCCATGGTCAGGAGTCTCTACATGATACGGGGAGACAATAGCGAACAAATGAATGAAAATGAGCTTCGTGCGTCATCCCGAGGAGTTGAAATTGACCGGAAATGTGGAGGAGAACTGGAAATATTTTAAACAAAGTTTTGAACTCTACGCCTTGGCTGTCGGGCTGGAGGCAGACGAGCGGCGGAAAATAGCGCTGTTGCTAACGGTGGCAGGCCGCGGAGCTCTGGAGGTTTACAACACGTTTGTCTTCAGTGAAGAAGAAAAGAACAAATACGACGCTGTTATAGCCCAGTTCGACCACTACTGCACCCCCAAAATCAACGAGACGTTCGAGAGGTACGTGTTCCGAACCCGTATGCAGGGAGAAACCGAGTCCATAGATGAGTATGTGGCGGACCTGAGACTGAAAAGTCGCTGGTGTAACTTCGGGACTCTGTGTGATTCTATCATAAAGGACCAACTTGTGTTCGGAATAAGGGACAATGTAGTGAGAGCACACCTGCTGAAGGAGAGAGATCTTTCTCTGGAGAAGGCCGTTATCATCTGCCAGGCCTTCGAAAAAGCAATAGTTCAAATAAAGACTCTTGGCAGACAGAGAGGGACAGCGGAAGTGGACACCACTAAAGCGGTGCCCGTGAAAAACGACCACAAACGGAGCAGAGAGTGTCAGTCCTGTGAGAGGTGTGGATGTAAACATTCACCGGGGCAGTGTCCAGCTCTGGGACACGAGTGTCGGAGGTGCGGGACGAAGCACCACCCGTCAATCAGCTGCCCGTTCAAGGAAAAGGAGCACAAGCAAAGCGACAGTGAGGACGAGGACACGTCCGTCTACATGGTGACTATAGAGGACGAATACGGCACTTCAGAGGAGGAGTGGGTCACACACCTGGAGGAGAACGGAGCAGATGTTCCACTCAAGGTGGAACCTGCGATCCGTGCGGAATGTTCACAGAGACTGGAATATAAGTCCAAGGTACATGTCAGAGAGACAGAGTAAATATATACAAATATGTATGTATATACAGTATAAACACATACTGTATTTATATATACATGCAGTTTTTCAACATAATCATGACCTCATATATTTATATGTGTATAGATACATATATAAATATATATATAAATATATATGAGGTGTTGATTTTATTGAGAAACTAGACCTAGTTATTAAGACCAAAATATATTTGCTGTAATTTTAGGTTATAGTGAAAATCCTCTGTATATATTGTACATTTTAACAAAATATATTCAATAGTCAGTATTTCAACTCGATAGCATGGCGCCTGGTCCACTGTAGTCCACAGTACAGTAAACAGAACACATAGACAAAAAATACTGGTAGTACTGTAATGCTGTTGTACTATAGTATGTAGTGGTATTTAGTAAATATGACAGAGTTTGGTTTAGAACTTGTTTGATCTGCACCAGAGCTGGTAGAAAGAAAGCAGCAGACGATGTGTGTTTTCTGAAAGTCTGTTTTGTCTGTTGCTTTCAGGATCTGCTGCTGTTGACTCAGCCTCAAACCCTGGAGCAGAAGAACTCGTCCATGGGACTGGTGTAAGTACAAGAAATTCCACTTCATTTTTCTATTTAAACTCTGACCAAAATGAATGTCTGGCATCAGATTATAATAATCCTAACTTTAAATAGAAGAGTCAGTCTTACAAGTTAAACTACTTTATATGTCTCACACCTGCCTTTTCTAGTTTCACATCTCATAGCGGTTTAGACCGTTAAGTCTGAAATGTCTCAGTCAGATCATTTGCTCAACCCTGAACTCTTTTGGAGATTTTTTTAAAATTTACGATACATTTGTTGCTTTTTTTGTCTCGGCCGTTGTCTGATGTTTGTGTCTGACTGAACCGATGCAGGAAACGAGAAGCGTTCTGTGAGATGCTAGCAGCTACATCATCGCCACAAGTGGACTGTCCGTCTCCACACGGCATCTCCGTTTCACGGTGAGCCTGACGGACTCGTCGTGTTGTCTGTTGACTAGACGGGAGTTTCCTCCAGTGTCTGAGTTTGTTGTGTCGTTGTTTTCCTCTAGAAAATGGAAGCGGAACAACTCACAGGATCCATCGCTGCCCTACGTGAAGAAACCTCCCAACGCCTTCATGCTGTACATGAAGGAGCAGAGGCCCAGTGTGGTGGCCGAACTGGTCTGGAGTGACAACGCACTGGTCAACAGGATCCTTGGCCAGAGGGTAAATCTTAGTTTAGTTTAGAGGACGTCCACTGAAATAAAGTGTATAATATTTTCACTCTGACACAAAATCCGAAATGGTATTTAGTAGGAGTATAAATATACGTCGACGATTAATATTTTTTATGTAATATATATACTGATATTATGGATGAAAATTAGTATCAATGAAATTAACACAGATTCTGGGGGCAGTATTATCAGGGCCAATACTGTAGTAGTAGATAGTACCTGGGTAGGATACTATTGATAAATATATTTTTTTATGTACATATTTTTGTTAATATAAAATATATTTTTTTATGTACATATTTTTGTAAATATATATCATGCTGATAAATTGACCTAGAATTGCAGCTAGCCTGCAGCTAACACTCTACACAGCCTGGATGTTTTTCTTTAACAAATCATGAACAATAATTAGCAATAACTGGCGCTAATGGCTTTCCACAGTGGAAGTCACTGTCCAGTCGAGAACAGGCCAAATACTACGAGGAGGCCGAGAAGATGAAGAAGCTCCATGCTGAGAAATACCCCTGGTGGTCGGCACGGGACAATTATGTACGTTACACTTCTTATCCAAATTTTTCTAAATTTCGTCGGTGGTAAATATTTCTTTGTACAAATTGAATCTGCCTCCGAACTAATCTTTTCTTTAATTAGGGTAAAAAGAAGAAACGTATCAGGAGGAAATATCATCCTGGCTTCGAAGAGTACGACCATGCAGTACAACTGGGGGCAGAACCTGGTACTTTTAACGGTACTGACCAATACAGGCTGGTGATGCCGAGTACCGACTCACGTTAAGGAAGCAGGTGTAAATCCCAGTCCCTGACCCCACGTCTGTAGAGAGTGGTGTGAACTCTGAGTGAGCCACGCTGCAGCTGCTCCGGCTTCACCGTCAGCAGAGGGCGCTGGCCTGCACCCACCTCTGAGGTGGTGACATCAGCGTTGAAAGGAGAAAAGATTCAGGTTCCGAAAGTTTCCCTGTTCTGGTGTCTGACCTCAATGGCTGCCTCCTAAAGTTATTTGGTCAAATATAGGGGGCGCTTGGACACACAGGGACAGCTCTGACCCGCTGCTGGTTTCCATGGTTCTACTCCTGTGTAAATGACATGTAAGAAATGTTTGTGTCACTTTTGTGAGTGAAGCACTTTGCACTGCAGTCAGTGACTGGAGACAAAAAGACAGAAACTAGCCGGTCCGCTGGCCTGATTTGGTCTGCAGGCCACCATTTGAGGACCACTGATGTACCAGACACTCCAGCTCCTACCATATCTCTCCTGCATCTCTGGTCTGCTACTCCAGGTGTCTTCTGACTCAACTTTTGTCATTTGTCCAACTGAGAATCTTGGGTAAAATCTGTCTGAAGTGTGTCGTTCCAACAGTGTGTCGTTCCAAGTTCCTGATGTTTTTAAAAAAATGTTTCTGAACGACTAATAAAAGACGTTTGGACTTATTTTCTTATCCTACAAACAAATACCACACTTTACACCGTAGTACTGTTGGCACAGAGTTGTGTTTTTGTACTTGTTGACACTGTGTATTTAATGTCAATAAAAATGTCTTCACTGTTAACAAAGTGAACTTGGTCAAAATAAATAAAGTTGACATTTCAAACACTGAATATGTAATACTGTATATACTGGGGGGGGGGGGGGGGTTTTAGTTGAATGAGGGGGGGGGGGGGGTGGTTTTAGTTGAACCTGTGATTGAACGCAGGACATTTCAGAAAACCACAAAAGAATGCAGTTCTTCCAGGTCCACATACCACTGTTTGAGAACCACCACCATGACCTATGAAAATCACTTTAATTCTAATAGATGACATACAGGTAACTCTGGTGTCACATGACAGGATGACTGGATATTTAAATTGTATATGAATACCGTACTACTCAAAAGTACTCTCGGGTACAACGTGTGTACTCACAGAGTACAGACGGAGGAAGAACACATGAGTAACAGGAACCAAACACAGAGAAGAGCAGAGCAGTGGAAGGTTCTAGTGACTGAGGCAGAGTGGGGGAGGAATCCTTTCATGTTCACATACAAAGCACTTCAAAGGAAGATGAGGTCACTGCTGTGAGAAGTGGGAGGAGGGGAGACAGAGGGGGAGACAGCCCAGCACATAGCTGTGCTCAGTGTAGCAGAAAAACAAGAGCAGATCAGAGGAGACGAAGGCTTCTGTCCTTCTGTCTGTCTCCTTCTGTCTGTCTCCTTCCTTCCTTTTTTTCTTCCTTTCTTCCTAGTTAAAAGTAAGTTTACTAAAAAAGGTCTTTGTTAAAATAAATTAGCATCAAACGCTAAATGCACGCGTGTGTATTTATATTGGTTTTATTTAGTTATTCAGAAAAAACATGACATCATCATTCAAATGTTTATGTACACAAATAACAGGCTTATTTTAATACTTTTTTTTTTCAAAATAGTCTTACAAAATACACTGTTCTCCCCTTTTATCGTGTTCTTCTGAAAATACGTTTGACTGCCAAAGGTCAGCATGTGTGCGTGGTTTAGTGGTTCTTAATATTATTGCATGCTGGGACACAGTTATTGCATAAGTCGATGGGTGTTAGGAGGTGGATGACTCTGCTCGGATTTTGGAAAAAATAAAATAAATATGATGACAGGGTCACAGGTGAGACACAAGTGTTTGCCAGTTAGAAAACGGTGGAAGTCACTCAGTGTGTGAAGAACCACGATGGTTCCTAACCTCTGTTTCCCACAGCAACATATTTGACATCAGATAAACAGAAAAGTCAGTATTTGTGATGAAATACTATGATTTTCTAGTTTCCATTTACTCACAGTTGACCTGGTCTGTGGAAAAACCTGGGCCTGTTTAGTTGAACACAACACTGATACACTCACAGGAATTGAAGAAAGACCCAAACAAAGATCTTCTTCATCAGAGTCTCTATGTTTAGCTTTTACAGTCATTTGCTGCCACCAGGTGGAAGAGAAGTTAACCGTTTGGCCTGTTACTGTGGCACAGATGAACAAAGACAAATTATGAGCAGTAAATTGATGTTTTTAGACTAATTAACTGAAATGGAATATTGTTAGTACGTTGTTCTTAGTTTTTTTTACTTCAGTTATTGCAAAGAATTAGTCTCAGTTCCTCTATGTGACAGACAGGCAAAAAACAATTAAATACTCTTCCACTAGGTGGCAGCAGATGGCTATGACAACTATAAAAAAAATTCAGAGCTGTAAAGAAGATCTTTGTGCCTTTCTTCAATTGCTGGGACTTTATCAGTGTTGTTTTTAACTAAACAGGCCCAGGTTACACGCTGACTCAGTACACTGTGAGTACGTTTATGCCGAGGATCAAAAGAAAAGTTTGGGAACCACTGATCTTAACGTTCTCTCGTTCTATTGATGAAGACAATTTGTGAATAAAAAGCAACTGGGAACCTACAGACATGGGCCACACGGAGTTTCTTTTGGCCAAGAAAAGTCCACAGTCCACAGGTTGACCCTCTGACTGGGACGTGAAATATTTAAGGAGGATATATTGGGAAATATTTCATAAAAAATAAACCAGTGATTCTGTACAAGAGTAAAAAGAAGAAGCTTAACATCAGGTCAGAATAAAATAACATCAACCATACACACCATGACAACCACAACAACAACAACCACCATGACAACAGTCGGTGACTCATGAACGAGTGATTCCACTAGAACAACAGTCGGTGACTCGTGAACGAGTGGGACGCTGCAGTCGTGACCTGTAAGACTGGGTTAGTTCCACTACGGACACAAGCCGTCCTGTCGATACCCATTCACAATAACACACTCTCTCTCTCTCACACTCTCTCGCTCACACACACACACACACAGCCTTCAGTCATATTTAAATTCCTGTGTGTGAAGACTTGGATAAAAAAAAAAAAATCGAACAAGGACGTCTTCCGACCAATCAGTGTCCACCGTCAGAACAGCTGTGAGGTTTGGACTGAATACAAAAAAGAAATCGTGTCTTTACAACCACACGGTGTTTTTTTGTTATAAAAAAAAAACAATTTAAAAGTGATGACTGGCACTGTTTGTAAATACGTGGCCACTGCAGTACCACGGCCTCGTGTTGGGAAGTCAAGGTCTAAGATAAATGGTCAAAAAGTTCTAAGATCAATATTTGAATTGAATAAATAAACGATTACATCTATGTCAAGTGTTGAGTTGTTAATTCAACCAATAGAAAATGAAACGTTTTTAGAATCAGAGCAATTTTTACCAAAACCTGAACCCTGTTCACATGACTTCAGAAAGATTTAATTTTCTTTTCCTGAAAAAATTGAAAGAGCATTCAAAGGAAGTGGATTTCAGGCCTTAGATCAGACAAAGAAGCAGGCTGTGACCTGGTGTCAAAGGTCATCCTCCAGAAGAAGAGGAAGAGCAGAGAGAGACATGGAGATGAAAAATCAACAACTTTGAAAAAATAAAAATAAAAAATAACCATTTGTCTGAGAACTTTCTGACCCCCCCTGTACACCGGTTCCATCCCAGCCAGCATGTGTGAAGCCCATGGAGGTGGAGGTTCAAAGAGCAGAAAAGTCAAGACTAAATCAGGATTGTCTTCAGGTTCTACATGGGACAGAAGATGGACAGAACTCCGGGGTCGTCCCGGTCATGATCCACGTCGTGATCTGGCAGAGATTTGAACCCTGAAACAAACTTACATTTAATTTAATTTAGGGTCATATCAGACCTGGAGCCCTCTGGCGGCAGGCAGGGGTACTACCTCTGCAGCAGTCCAGACTAACCCAGGTTCCATAAGAGACTAACTGAAACAATTCACCCAAACCACTGGTTCCCAAACTTTTTTCTGACCCCCCCCCCCTTTTGTTGATTGTTTTGTATTCGTACAAAACTGTATTTCCTATAAAACGGTTCCTTTCATCAAACAAAGGAACTAAAATAACAAGTCAGTGCAGTTTTGTTTTTTTGACACAATTACAGAAATGATTGAAAATGGCATCCATGTGACCCCCCCCCGGCAGTAGCCTCATGTCCCCCACGGGGGTCCACCCCCTACTTTGGAAACCACTGACTAACTCCATGCCCAGTGTAGCTGCTTCTCCCGAAGCCCATCTGGACTGTGTTGGCTGGGATGTGGATTGCGACCCACCCGTTTACTGCCTTTCTAAACTAAAAGCAGATTCGATAGGTGGAGGGATGAGGGGGGGATCTTTCTGGCAGTAATGGCAAGTACTGTCCAACACCTGGGACGGCATAGTGGCAAACATTTGATATTTTGGCAATCTATAATCTTCCTGTTATCTGAAGTGGCCCACATCTACTGGCCCAATGACATCAAACCACACTTCAATGTCAGACTCATATTGGCTTCATCTGGGCCAGATGTAGGCCAAAAATATATATATTAATATATAGGTTTGTACCCATTTAGTCCACTTGACCCACATAGGGTCCACACTAACTTGTTGGTTGTGAGGCTACGTAACCAGGTACGCATTTTCACAGTAGAACTGTACCTCAACTGTACTTCACAGGACCTTTGGTCTTTTCCTCTTTGTGGTGCTGACGAACGTGGACATCTAAGTTTGGTTCACAAAACCAAGGTTCTCAAGAACAGCTCTGTACCTTTAACAAGTCCCCGGGGTCCGGCCCAGTCCAGACTCACAGCAGGCAGTTTCCCATGGAATGCATTTGAATAACGATTAAACTACCAGGGCGATTTTTCCAGAGTAAGACTAAAGAAAACTACAAACAGAATCAAACGGCTGACTCTGCTGCAGTAACACAATCCACACAGGAGAGGGCCCCAAAGCATCAGTTTTGGTGGGCGGGGTTAGAACAGATTGTGTGACGACTAGTATTGACGAAAAAACAAACCCAGGTCTGAACCGTGTCGAATGCTGAACCAAGAAGAAGTCACAAAGTTAGCCAAACTGCTAGTTAGCCACGCTAGCCCAAGAAATGAATGTGAACTTAATTTAAGGAAAAAAATAATAGTTAACTAAACAGTTTTTAAACTTTTCCAAATTATAACTTTAGTTTGGCACAGGAATTTCTAACTGAAAAATTAAACCTTTACCAAAAATCAAAGCTCAAATCCAGTCCAGATATACAGAAGCTAAGTACTATCTAAATACACAAACCAAATTAGCCATCAAAAAATATTTCCCCTGAAATTAAAAACTGAAAAGCAAAATTAGAAATTGTATTTTTGTTTGTTTTGTTAATGCTAAGCTAACATTAAGCCATTTTTTAGGCCTAATCTCATTTATGGCTGTTAGCACTTAGCACGTTGTGATGATTATAAACTTTATAGAATATTGTCCGTGTGAACAGACCAACACGTCAGAATGCAGTAACGATACTTTCTCTTATAAAATCATAAATATTTATATCTACTTATCTATAAAAACGATACATTTTTTTAATTCCCTGAAAAAAACTCTTCTTCTTCTTCTTCAGCATCACTGACAAACGTGGGTTTGTCTGGTCCAGTACCAGTCTGACACAGGAGTCAGAAACCAGAGGAGAGAGGTCAAACGTTAAACCTTGACCTCTGATGTCACCGTAAGAAAAAAGGAGGCGATGAAGAGACGAGTGGTTTTAGTTTCACCAACACCGTTTTGGCCACTTTGGTCCTGATGTTCCCTTCTTGTGTCCTTCTGACCTTCACTTTCTTCCTGAGAAGGTCAGGAAGTCAAACAATAAAACCATGAACTAAAATCAGAACAAATGCGTCCAAACGTCTGGTCCGTTCCTTCTCAGTTTGGTCAGAACGGGATACATTTTTAAAATATGCAAAAACAAATCTGAGATAAAATAAAAATGTTTTTAAAAGTGTGCTGCAAGCCTTGTTCCTGTTTCCTGCAGATTCAGAGACGACTAAAGTGCCTGAAGATCACTGTCACCACCGTCCAGTGAAAACATTTTTCATCTTCTCTCGCCAGAATCAAACAGGTGAAAGAACTTTCTGGTTTCCACCCTGAATGATCTCAAAACCTCGGTGGACGAGCCGCCGGACGTTGTCTTGCAGTACCACACGTTTCCACAGCCAGGAATAAAAACATGATACTCGTCCAGACGCGGCCGCCGTGTCGTAAACAACTCACCGTGACTCCTGTTTTCAGTCCTGACTTTTTTTTTTTTTTTTGCAGTGGAGGAAATATTTGCTGGTTGTAGGCATCGTAGAAAGAGTCCATCAGGGCTGTGGTCAGATGGAGTAGGTGGAGCTCTCAGACTGCTGGCGGATGTAGCACTGAAAACTCTTGTCTCCTATTGGATGCTCTCTGTAGAGACAGACAGAGAGAGAGGTCAGAACATCAGGAGGAAATAAACTAAAGTGGAAACTAAAATATACACAGAAGTAGAAATGAACGCATAAGCTAATGAGCTAATGCGCTAACTCCTTTATCGCTGTGTTATCTGTGACAAAGAAAAACAATGAGTCTAATGTCAACAGTTGACCCTGAACCACGTACTGGCTGCCGATCTTGGTCTTTTTGAACTTGTCCCGTTTGTATTTGGTGTGTTGCTGCTCCAGGGTCTGCACCGATGAAATGATCTGCTTCAGGGTCTTGTAGGTCTCCTGGGGGTCATCGATGACGAAGCTGGAGTACTCCTCCTGTTCAGGACCGTCGTACACCGATTTGCTGCCACAGGCCTCTGCAGGGAACAACGATAAAACAACAACGACATTTAATGACAGATTCAAGTAGAGATGATGCAGTACATTCTACAATAACAAAAACACACATGACAACAATCTATCTATCTATATATCTAGCAGCTAGCTAGCTAGCTTCATATCTAGATAGATATGTAGATAGACAAATATCTATCCATCCATCTAAATAGGTGTGTCCAGCTACACACACACACACACACACACACACACACACCTTGCATCTTGATCATTTTGGACATGTACGTGCTGAAGAGCGAGTAAATCCTCTCCGTCTCCCTGTCACCGTCCACGTCCAGCTGGATGTTTGCTGGAAGGCTGCTGGAAGAACAGGAGAACGGGAGAATAAGGAGATGGATACCAAAGGGAAAACACGGTCAAAGTGTGTGTGTGTGTGGGGAGGGGGTGGTCATGTACCCGGTGCAGGGCGTGCAGCCGGGCGCCGTGTCTGAGGAGGTTTTGCAGCAGAGCCAGTGTCCGTTGAGGTAGGCTGAGGGGTGGTAGGTGCTCAGGCGTTTGCGGTTACACTGGCTGACCTTTGTCAGGATGTCGATCCAATCGCGAGCCTCCACGCAGTTGTTGGCCTGAATGTAGAGCGCCCTCTCTGGCTGAATCACCTGAAACATCTAACATGAAAAATGGACATGAGCTGCTGATCACATGACACCTCACCAGTGGGGGGCACTAGAGGACCCGTACGTTTTTCATTTTGAACGACTCCTCTTCCAGTCGCTCCACAGCCAGGATGTTCTCTATGGGAATGCTGCACAGAGCGCCCTCTCCTGGAAGACCAATAAACAAAGAAAAATGCTTTTTTTTAATACTAAATAGAGAAGATGAAAACGTTTTAATCCCTGAAACAATTTAACCTGAACTGTCCCTTTAAAGTTTTTTTAAGTACTCGTTGAAGTAGTTTTTAACTTCTATACTTTAGTCATGTGATGTGGTTTGTGAAAAATATTTTTAACAGGAAGAAACCTTCAGCAGATCCAGAGTGACATGAACCTAGTCCTGGTCCTGGTCCAACAGTACCAGCCAACAGTACCTGGGAACGGACTCACCTTTTGTTTTATGGTAGGTGAACTCATGGTTGGTGAGACGGAACCACCTCTTTTTGAAGTTCTTCATTCCAAACCTTTTCCTGCCCTGAGCCCGTTTTATCATGAACCTGACCAATAGGGGGAGACAAAAACACAACATTAATCAGAATAATGTAAGAACAATAAAATAATAAAAATAAAAAAAATCATAATTGCACAATGGGGAATTTCATACCCTAAAAATGTGAATACTTTTTTAATAAATAAAAACTACCTTTAACAACCAGCCTCATATATACACTGTGTATCATTTATTTATCTAGCAGTACCATGAAAAACACCCGAGTTTGCCTTTAATCTAACAGCTGATGACAGGGATGAGACGTTTCATAAAGACACAAGAAACACAACAGCATGGTTTTCAGGAAGAAGGGAAAAAAACACCAGGGTGTGTTTGACTCTAGGTCTGAGGAATGAAAGCAACAAAAATACACAGATTTAAACATCGAATATATTTAAAAAAACAAAACAAAAAAAACCAATAGCTTCCTTTTAATTACAAAATATTACATTTTATACGTTTCTCTGAAATTCTTTATTTTATATATATTGTTGTAAGTCACCAAAAACAGTTTTATCTCCAAAAAATAGAGTCGTTCTGACGTAACGATGAAGCAGCTGGAAGTCAAAACTTTGTTCTATATTTAATGCTAACCTTTTTAAGACACTGTTTACAGGACGATGATACGATACGACTGCAGTAGCCTGCGGTTATAGAATAGAATACAACTCTGGGCCCTGTGGTACATATGCCAGACCTGCAGGTGGCACTGTGTCAACCACACTCTAACATAGAGTAAGGGGGTGGGAGGGGTCTTGGCATCAACAGGGGATACGACCCACACACACACACTCACCTGCTGTCTGTGCATTTTGACCCTTCCCACTCAACCCTGTTTATAAAGAGTTTTACATTCCTACGATGAGGAGCAGAAACAGAAGAAGACGAAGGAGGTTAACGAGCGAAGCAGGAGAAAAACACGGAGGAGTGACGCAGCATGGCAACTGTTGTCACAACATAACCATGGTTACAGCGTCACAGTGGGAACGCTGGGGGCAACGACTATTAAAAATAAGATTTGAAGTGCATTGTGGGAGATGTAGTTTTTGGTTGAATACAAATTTTGAAATTATTCACTAGGCATCAGTTTTACACAACCTTGGGTTTGAAATATCTGCTGTATACAATAGACGTTCTATTAGACTTACAGACTTACAACAGACAGAGGACTGTAGGCATGTTAAGTGTGCCACATTCTGTCCACCAGCCTTGAGTTTGACACATATAAATGAAACAGTAAAATGAATCCTCACCCCTCCTTCAGCATGATCGGCGTTTCGATACTCTTCTGATCCCATTTCCCTGAGGTGGAGATGAGGTCCAGGAACTGCAGGGAGAAGAGGTGGAGGTTCGTCATCCAAACATTTACCGTTTATTTAACCTTAAACCCCAGTGTGTCGACCATCAGCAGTCACGTGACCACAGATTTGTTCAGACAAAGACTCACGTTCTTCACAGCGTCGCCATACTTCTGCTCGTTGAAGTAGTCGTAAAATGCAGCCATGTAGGACTCCTTGAAACTGGCCTGGAAAGTTATGGAAACAGTACTTTTTAATTGTAGATTTGAAATAGAATCAATGAAATAAACACATTTAATATTACTTAAAAAAAGAAATGCAGTAAAAACAGAGTGAAACCCACAGATTTAGACTTCGCGAGACTTCCCAAGGTCTGGATGGTCTTTGAGATGAGGGTCAAAGTTCGTGAGGTGGCAGGGTCCTGAGGAAACAGAAGAAGAATCAGAACACATTAGGATCAAAAGATCTGTGAAATCAACCAGCAACCATCGAATGTTGTGATTAGAGGTGTGGTATGTGACGTGAAAACAAAAAGCCGATCATTGCGTTGTTTTTTGGACTCACTGGATGGTGTGGTCGTAGATGGAAGAGGTTCGGGGAGAGGATGGCCGGAGCGAAGAAACGCAGGAAGATGAAGCTGCTCACTGCTGTGTACCTGACGTCCTGGTCGACTGAGGACGGAGAGAATCAATAAATCAATAAAGCATTTTCTACCTTGTCCACGAGGTGTCTCTATATTTTGTATTGTTAGAAAAACTACACTGTGGTTATGAATGACCAACACTGACACAAAAAGGCCTGAAAAAGGTACTGTAGTAATACTCATGGTACAAAATACTTCAATTTGTTCTCATGGATTTTAAATTTATTTAAAAAATAATCATAACCCTTCAGTTTGGAGCTAACTATGAAAATAGGAAAAGTTTGACCAAAGACAATTTCTACAACTATGTTTACTGCGCATTAATTTTCTGGCTGCAGTAACCGGTGACGGCCAACAGGGGGTAGTACAGCACAGGTTTTGAGACTCACAGCAACAGAAGAGTAAAAGAAGCTAAAGTACATTCTGTTGGAGCAGAATAGAAAAACAACAAACAGCTGATATTCCAGAGGAACAAACGGCACCAGAGGAACAAACGGTACCAGAGGACCAAACGGTACCAGAGGAACAAACAGTACCAGAGGAACAAACGGTACCAGAGATTCCTGTTCTTTCTTCTGTTTTTCCTGTTCCTTTTCATCACCTGTGAATTGTGGAGGAGCGTACCTTGAAACCTGGTGGCGGCCGACTCTCGGAGGGAGAAGAAGATGTCGCACATAACAGTGGGGCAGCGGACCCCCGAGGTGGTGATGACGTTGAAGATTCGGTCCACGTACTGACGCAGGTTCTCCTGAGGGGGGCAGAAGACGGAGGACACAGGCGTCAGACACTGGCAGAGGCCGCACACGTGATGTGGAGTCTGTGGACTGGGGTTCTTACCCGGTTTGTGTCCAGGTTCTCCGACTCCTTCAGTTTGACCGGGTCGATCTCACACGGCTTGTGTTCCGTGCAGATCTAAACAGAAACATTTGGAATATTTACTTTGGAGTTTTCTTCAGTACATATCAGTGACATTAGTTAAAGTATTGTTATCTAACATCAAAACAACGTCAGTGGTTCTCAACCACTGTGCTGCGGCACTTTGGTGGTACATCAGTTTCTAATGTAAAACATGTACTGTGGCCTAAAAAAGGTTGGGAAACACTGGACCAGGGAGGTCAACTGTGGGAGGACTTTTATTATGGTCTCAGAAGTTCTAAAATATTTTCAGGGGGTTTTAAGTGAAATTTACAAATGTGAGTAATGAGTGATTTGTACATAAATATCTTCAAAAAAAAAATCGGAAAGTTCTAGTCAGGACCGAAGAAGTCTATTGGTGAAATGTCTTCAAGAAAGTGAGGCGGTCCAGGTTCCCTCTACGTAGCTGTTTTTGATTAGATGACCTGGATGACCTGATGACCTGATGACAACCCCTGGGCCGGGCACCTGTGCCAGTCCGTAGGTCATGTGGTACTGGGCTGCAGTGAGACAGTGAAATAATGTACTACTAATGATCCATCAATGATGGCGCAGTGTTACCGGTCTGCAGTACCGGCTGATACCGGCCACCCGGTCGACTACCCCTGTGCAGTACCTGTATGACTGTAGTCACACTGAGCTCTAGGTGACGCTGTAGGAAGAAGTTTTACTCGGGTTCACAGTGTTGAACGAAGCGAGGGTTGAGCAGAGGAGTCCAAACTACAGATACTAAAGAAAAGAGAGTACCTCGTCTATGACCGGTTTGAGGGTGACTTGCAGGTAGTGCATCCCGGCCAACTTCATGGTCTCATCGATGCACTTGGACGTCAGCGAGTTCCCACGGAAAATGGTGTTTGGGTCCCTGCAGGACAAACGCACGTGTTCATCAAACTGTGGGGCGGTGTCTACAAAGTGCTCATTCGCTGCCGTGGTGAGAGACACTCACTGTGTGCGGTTGACCTCAGTGTGAGCGATGGCGCTGATGAACGGCACGATCTTTCCGCAGTGAAGGAAGAGACGCACCAGAGGAACGGCAGCTTCCTGTTTCTCTCGACAGACCTCACCCAGGATGTGAGCAGTGGACGCAGACACAGGCTGGACATGGAGAGATGTTACGTTTGAATCGCAGCAGATTGTTGAGGTCTGAGCTAACTGCACGCCCACGCGCTGTACCTCCACGTTAGCGGAGTGCAGCAGCAGATCTCTGAGGGGGGTGTAATATTCAGATGGGAAGACGTGGTCTTCGGTGTAAACGATGTTCAGTCGCAGAGAGCCCAGCTCCTCCACCTTCACCGACTTCCCTCCGTTTTCCCTCGGCTGGAGAAAGTACCTGAACGCAACATCAGAAATATACTTGAAGCAGGATTTAACCAACTGGAACCACATACACACCAACAACAAAAACCTGTTCCAGACAAGATTCAAACCAACGCCGTATCGTGGAGGAATGTTATCTAATAACTTAACCATTTTTCTGCCAGTGTTGTTGTTTTTCTCACCATGCATCATGAACACCAACTTGACCCAGGACTCGCAGAGGAACCCGGACTCCTCCCAGGAACTCATCTCCAAACTTCAGGTTGCTGGCATTCCACAGATCCACTCTGGATTACGTGAGAACAGATTAGATTAGATTAGATTAGAAGTCGTTATTGTCTAAAGTGGGGGGGGTGGATGGCCCCCTCCTCACCAGATCTATTAAACTGAGTTAAATACATCAGAGATTAAATTAAAAGAGTTGGAGAGTCCTGTTTATGTCTGTGAGTTAGTCACAAAGAACTTTTTGAAAGGTCAAGGGGTCACAGGAGCAGAACCTGTGAGTTAGTCACAAAGAACTTTTTGTTGACTTTTTGTCAAGGGGTCACAGGAGCAGAAGCTGACCGGAGTCTGGACTCTTTTGAGGTTTTCACACATTTTTACTTTTAAAATTATCCAAATAAACTTTACTGACCTTTACTAATTTACTGTTTTTTGTTGATTTTCAGCTGCACCACAGCCAAAAAAAATTCTTCATTAATTTCATAATGTAGCGGTTAGCACGCCTTCTCACCTCAGTGCCAGTTTGTCAACATCCTCTTCTTCAACGTCAAACTGCCGCTTTGTGTAACTTAAAGGTCGCGTCACCTGAAAAAGAAAACTTTCATTTAAAACATCAGGGTTCCCACTCTGATCTCCATAACAGTTCCTAGGACTGCTCTACGCTCATGTGTTTTGTGTCTGTGAACAGGAGAGGGAGCTCACACTCACGCGCAGGAGCTGACGTGAGAATAAAGAAGAATTCTTTTAGGTCAAAGTTCTACTAAGACTGCTGAAACAGTGCCTTTAACTTTTCCAAAAAAAAAAAAAAAATCCAAAAACCATGTAGTTTAAACGGAGCAGCGACGACCGTGAGGACGATCACATGACGGCAGCCTGATGAACGGCGCTGTGCTGCGAGTGTGACGAGGGCGCAGGGCAGAGCCACTAAAGTAGACCAGACATGAGATGGACTCGTCCGGCACAAATAAATGGGCCAGATTGTTCTGTCCTTTGTCTGAATCAATCATACTGTTGTCCTGCAGAGTTCCCAGGGGCCACAGGGAGGGGCCAAGGAAAAATGTCAAAGCCCAGCAGTGCTGCTGAGCCAGGCTTAGACGGGTCACCGTGAAAGACATTCAATTGTATGTATGAACTGTATGTACTAGGCTGCAGTATGTTCTGGAAGGTTCCTCTGTAGAACTTTAGAACCCAACATTCCTGTTGGACAGAACAGCTGGCTGCTCAAACATTTGACTTTTGGAATTTTTGTCAAAGAAGAAAAGGCATTAGTCATCAAAAAAAAAAAAAAAAAAGACATACAAAAGGTTCTTTTAGGGAGAACGTCCAATCAGAGCTAGTTTTTTTAGTCAGAAGGTGGGACATCTACATGGAGGTCCAATCATAGTGAACATGTGTTTGGTAGTAGGATAAAGGTTATTGATAGGGATGTGTTTTGACAATATCAGCATATTGGATATCGGCAAAAAGCTAATATCGGACATCTCTAGTTATTGAAGAACACTCAATAACCTGATTAAGGTTCAATAGATTAATTGATTTACAGGATTAGATCAAACAAACTCGGACCAGGATGTCGGTCTGGGACCAGGATGTCGGTCTGGGACCAGTATCTGTCTCAGACTTGGATCAGGTTTGGAAAACAAAAATATGACAATTAATGTGAGCTCCTGCTTGGTTGACTTGGCTCCAGCCCTCACCTCATGTCCCTCCCCGACCCCGACCCCGACCTCCCAACATTAGAAGGGTAAATGTACCTCAAAATAAAAGGTCTCCTCAAACTGTGGGTTGTTGGTTTTCCTCTTCACCTTGGTCTTCTTGGCATCTGATCTGCAGAGACCGTGAACCAGAGGAGGTGAGAACCACGTGTTGACCACATGTTAGACACAGAAACACAGAGCTGTGGAATGGATCTGGAAAAAACCTGACCTGGATGGTCCCAGTAAGGAGACGGCGGCGTAGGGATCACATTGGCCATTGACGATTGGCAGACCCTGGCACTCCAGCACTCTGGTCACACACACACACACACACACACACACACACACACACACAGAGCGAGAACAGCAGTTTGAATATCAGCTTCAGTTTCACAAATGTTTTCTGCAGCGCCCCCCTTTGGCATCTGTTTCACTGTCGTTCCTAACAAGACGCTATTAACATTGAACAAACGAATGTGACACAATTAAAAACAATATTGACACTGAGATGTATTTGCCCTGGTTCAACAGCTCTGTGCCCCCTGAGGGAACCCCGCCTCCCACTTTGAGAAACACTGTCTTCATTTGCAAACATTCTGAAAACTTGTTTCCTTCTTTCTATAATTAGGCTTGTTGTTTGCACCGATGTGTCGATATAAATACGAGTCGCCTGTATTTGTGTTTCTGTTAAATATTTTTGTATCTTTAAAACTAAAACACAAAACCTTGTCATCAAAATGTCATTCATACAGAACCAGAAGATTTGACAGAGCGTTGATTGATTCACGCCTCACTCTGCTCAACGACACCTGGGGATTAGGCACCAACAGGGGGCAGGACAGTCAGCAGGTCAAACCATTTCCTGTGTGTCACTGTGATGCATGCAGCTGCGCGCACACACATATACACACACAAGTTCCTAACATGGACTGAAGGAAAGGGCTGGGTCAAGCGTCACTAATGCCGCAGCACTTCCTGTCCAGTAAGCCTGTTTATGTAACCCCAGCTTGGCCTAGAACCCAGACGTCAGCGTCTCTCCGAGTCGTCTGAAGGAGCAGACGGCAGAGAGGAGCTGCACACTGATCTGGGTCTGAGCTGACGCTCACCAGGAACTACTTCTTTATTCCTGCACCGGATAAAAAATATACAGTTTGAAGAAAAAGTCGTTGCAGTTAAAAGAAACGACCGGACTAATCGTAGACGCTGTAAATAAACTAGTTGTTTATTGTTTATTGAAGTAACTAGTTTTGGAGTCACTTCTCTGATTCTCTGGTCAGGGATTTTAAATTTCTCATCCTGAGTTTCCTCATGAGACATTTAAAGTCATTTAAAAAGACAGAGGAAAAAAAAGGAAGCGTTTGAAAAAAAAAAAACTGTTCAGACAATGTCTCTGACTTTTTGTCCATCAGGGACATTGACATCTGTTAGTCTAATTACACTGCCAGGTTGACCTCATGTTGACCTCATGTTGACCTCATGTTGACCTCATGTTGACCCCTGTACTGTCCAAACAAACTTAATCAGACAGGAACCATGAAAACATGGATCAAAGACACAACAGACAAACAGTGAGGACTGTGGACCGATAATATGATATAATTAGGGACGTCCGATATTAACTTTTTGCCAATATCGGATATGCTGATATTATTCAAACACTTAATTTCCGATTCCAAAAATTAGCATAGCAATAATTGCTTTATTTATCTGTACTTTGTGAGTAATAAATTAATTAAATGAGCTGCAATGCTGCCATCTATTGACTTTCACTTCATTATGCAGCTGTTTTTCCCCAGAACTATTTTTAGGACACACATCATCTGGCGAAATCCAGGCACTGTGTTTTCATTATCGGAGGAATAACCAATAACGATTCTTACAGATTATAATATAATATAATATTAGTTAAATTGCCATAAAAGACCACTTCAGATTTTATAACCACAGACAGAACATATGTGGTCATATGACCCTGCTGGAATGATCATTGGGTGTGTGTGTGTGTGTGTGTGTGTGTGTGTGTGTGTGTGACCTCACCGTGTAGCTAGCTTATGGCTGATGACTCCACTGTCTGTGATGACTTCACTCAGACGCAGCTCCAGGTGCACTTTCCCCTGTACAACACACACACACACAGACAGGAAATACGTTGTTGTTGCATCACATCATACCAACAGTCTGGTCAGTGTCCAGACACACTGACCAAAAAAAAAAAACACAGAGAGCGTCAGGTCACTGCGCGAACACGTGAAGCCATTTTGGTGTATTTTAAATACTGGGTACTGCGTGGACGTACACGTCCTGAGTAACTTTGTTAAACCTTGAAATTTAAATACCTGCAATAACCTAACCCTGTCCCTCATCCACAGTAATTGAAAACAAAATCTGTTTGTTGACATCTAGTTACGGACCAGATGGAGGAGGGGTCGGGTGGCCCAGACGTGGCCTGCAGGCCGGGTGTTTGGCACCCTGATTTACAGGGTTGCGTTGCAGCTGTCCACAAAAATCTCCATGCATTTGCAGCATCAGTATGCAAACGCACAGGCGTCGCTGTCACTGGCCAATTCAAGCCGAGGGAACACACACACACACACACACACACACACACACAGAGGCATGTGCACACAGGTCAAACAATGAGTCCTCTATTTGAAGGGAGAAGAGAGAAACACTCTATCTTCCAACTTCATTTGATCCTTCTCCCTCTCTTCTCCCCCCCCCCCCCCCCCCCCCCCCCCGTCACTCTCTCTCACATCCTTCCTCACCCGGCTCCTCACATGAATGTGTCTCTGTGTCTGACTCCCGCTGCAGGGCTGCACACACCCCTCTGTCTGCTGATGTCCTCTCTCTCTCTCTGTCTCTGGTGTTTGAATGAAGTTACTTCAAATGTTGAAACGTTTTTTGTAACTCGTTAAAGGCTGTGATTAATTGGTGGCATTAATCAGAATGGATTTTTATTCCACTTCGACAGGCAGGAACATGTAGACCGGGGGTGTCAAACTCATTTTCACCGGGGGCCACATCAGCAGAACAGTTCCCCTTGAAGGGAGGGTTATAAATGGAACACTGTATCAATCAGGGGTGCGCGGACCAGTCACGGTCCACAGGTCATTTGGTACCATGGACACATTTTTACTAATTAACTTCATTCAAAGAAAATCCATTCAGACTCTGAGACAAACAGAATAGAGTCTAAAAGATGTTTTTTTTAATCTAATGATCCGTCACTGGTCCGTAGCTCCTCCATAACAGACTAATACAGGTTTCTGAAATTGATTATTATTTATTTAAGCTACAAATATTGTTCATTGCAGTGCAATTAAAAAACGTTTAATTTCTCCAAATGTGGCTTGGCGGGCCGCATTTGGCCCCCGGGCCTTGAGTTCGACACGTGATGTAGACGATCGTGAGAACAACTGGAGTAATTCATTTTAATGCAACAAAAATGAGGAACAAACGTTTAGAAATCATGTTCTGAAAGAAGCTCCACAGTCTGAATGTTACTGTAACACCAGAGTCCTGAATATTAGAAATGGAATGAACATAATGATGTTTAAAAAAAGTGTTGTGAAGTACAGTAGCAGTACTGTGTGTGTGTGTGTGTGTGTGTGTGTGTGTGTGTACTTGTCATCTGTACTCACCTGCACCTCTGAGTCAGCGCTGACAGGCTGCAGCTGAAACCAGGTGTCTTTGCCGTGATATTTTTGCAGATCCTCCTTCTTCACAGCAACCTTGCCTTTACACACACACACACACACACACACACGGAACAAAGAATGAGTTCAAAAAACCTCAGCCTTCCTGTAAATCAGTACCATTGGCCTTGAAGTCACCCAGTTATATCTGTCCTGAAACTAAGTTACACCCAGGCCCCCCCCCCCCCCCCCCCCGCCGCCCACACACACAAATATTGATCCTTCAGATATTCACACCTTAAACATTATTCCGATTGTGTGTACAAAACACTGCAACCACAACTGCAACCAGAACCATTGCTCTATAGTACACACCCAGACACCTCAACATTTATCAGCCACACCCTGTGGACCAGGGGTCGCCGACCTTCTCGAAACTGAGAGCAACTTCAAGGGTATTTACCCTTGTATCATCCATATACACATATATATGTATATATTTGTATATATATACATATATACATATATATGTATATATATAGATATATGTATTTATATATATGCATATATATGTTTATATATGTCTATATATACGTATATAAATATGTCTATATAATGTGTATATGTATATATATGAATATGTGTATATGTATCTATATATGTGTGTGTATATATATTTCTATATATATATTTTATATATATATATATATATGCACATCATACTCACCGATGCTGGAGTCCCTCCTGAAAACGTCCCTGTCAAAGATGTAGAAGGAGAGGTGTCTGAAGCTGCGTGGAATCTCACAGTAAAAGTCCTCGCCGTAGAAGGGACTGGGTGGGGGGGGGAGACATGGTCAGTCGACTGGTCAGTGGTCACAGCAGGTTGTTACAGTTTTAGACTCTACAGTATGTCACCTACACTAATACACAGAGACAACATTAGTCCACTCTCTCTGACCCATCTGGGACACAGGAGCAGTGGGCCACATGTGTGGTCAACACGCCACAGTGCTGCTGCTGGGATTTGAACCGGCAACACCAACAGACTGATCAGTGTCTCTGTGTGGCAGCTCAGCTCCCACTGATCAGGAAACTAAACTAAATATAACTGTCACCTTAAAATCTGACAATGATTGGCCAACACACATGAAGAGCTGTGTGTGTGTGTGTGTGTGTGTGTGTGTGTGTGTGTGTGTGTGTGTGTTGGGCCATAACAGTGTGAACTCTCCGGATGTGTGTCTTCAACAATGAGCTCGTTTGTATCCACTGGTTGACGGTTCAACAACTGCCTCACCTACTGCAGCAATGAGAGGCTCATGAGCGCCGCCCCGGGGGACGAGGCCAACAACTAGTTCTGTCACTGGGGCAGCCTGGGGCACAGTGGCAGTTGTAAACAACACCAACAGGCACCAGGTTTCTTTTTCTTTAGAATATTTTTGGGGGTATTTTGTAGTGACTGTGAAGAAGTACTGCGGGTACAAGCAAATACCAGAAAACTACGCTTTACCTGAACAGACCATGTTTAATTGACTGTGTCTACTGCACCAGTGGTCCAGTACTGCCCCCCCCGCCCACACCCGCTCCACCCCGCGCGCACACTGCGCCCGTATAGAGTTCATTGAGGTTTGTTTTTTTGGATGAAGGTTGAAGTGCATAATAATAAAGTCATAAAACTCAGTTCTACTGGTCAGATTTACTATGAACCACTGACAAATGTCCTGGTCTCCACCTGGTCCCCACCTGGTCCCCAGCGTGTGTCGCTTCCAGCTCCTTCCTTCAGCTCTCTGTTCTCTCACTAACAGTTCCACCTGAACTGTTTTCTCCATCACTGACCGTTTTCCTCCACCCTGCCAACTCATGTGCACTGAGACGCAACCAAACACTTGAAAGCCTGTCATGCTGAGTGAACAGAGCTACATGTATCCGTGTGTGTGTGTGTGTGTGAATGAGAGCTAGTGCAGGGTGTGGTTACATTTTAATTTTCTTCATTTATTCATTCATAGATAAACACAGCGTGTGAACGGAGGAGTAGTCAAAATTCATCACACCATCCCTTCGGCGTATATTTATATACATAAATATATATAAAAAGATATCTATGTATATGTATGTGTATGTATATATATGTGTATATATATATATATGTATATGTATATATATGTGTATATATATATATATATATATGTATA